GCATTCTTTATGTACAAAGGCAGTCATAAGACTAGTGGTCTCCTGTAAATAGGCATTCTCTAGAGCTAATTTATGGTAGTAGTAGGTTTTATATGTGCATAGCCAGTGATTTTAGTTTTATTACTGGGTCCATCACTCTTGGTTAAAAAAAATACTGATTCCCCCATCCCCTAGATGCTTTATATGAAAGATTATAGGAGTTAAAAAAAATAATCTTGGAGCCATTTGAGCCTAATAGAAAGCATTAATATGAGAGAGTAGCCTCACCAACTTTGTGTGGTTGATTTTCAGACAGTAGGATAAGGTACTTTGGTCTTGATCAGCAGTAACTCTTCCAGTCTACTTTCTAAGTTTAGTTAAGACTGATCCAGGAAACCCTCTGTTCTTCACTCATCTTTTAACCCTCAGTTTTTCTTTCAGAAAAGAAGCCTATAATCATGCCAAACAAATTGCAGATTTATGGCACATTTTACTTATGATGATTTATAGTTTCTCCTTCAGATTGTGAGTTCGTGTCTAAAGGAACAATACTGGGCTAACAGTTGGACAGCTGCTCCTAGATATCTGTTTCATGGACTTTTCTGACTTTCTGCCTTCTCTAATAAACAGTTTCATTTGAGCTATACATAAACAGAGCTGACAATAGCTCACTCATATGGCCTTCTATCTGCTAGTAAGTTCTTATGCTAAAGCAGCAGAATGAGGTAAAGTGTAATTGTGCTAAGAGGTAACACACATACACACACACACACACACACCCTCTTGTGCATCTCTTCCTCATGTTTGCGCCATTCCATGTTGCCCAAGTAAACAGACATTTTAGCATTCCCAGAAAATTTACTTCTGTAGTTTTGAAAAGAGCAGTATTGCTTCCCCATGGCTTTTTGGTGTGTGTGTGTGTGTGTGTGTGTGTGTGTGTGTGTGTGTGTGTGTGTGTGTGTGTGCGTTTGTACACATGTGCCTACAGAAGGTGATTTTATAGACCAGTGAATGATGTTTACTTTTAGTGGCATTTGTAACTCCCTTTCTGATTCAAGTTTTCAGGTATCTCTTCTTTGTGGAAAGAGACTGGTAAGAAAGAATGGGTAGGGCAGTGGAAATTGTTGTAGATTAGTTTAGGTTTTGGAGGCAGGATTCAATTTGGATCCAAAATTACTTACATCATTATTATTGAATTGTGAAATTTATGATTTTAGTGTTTGTTGACATTTTCCCATGTCTACCTCAAAGGATTGTCATTTTATAAATTAGCTTAATTCTGAAAAAGTGGACAATGCTGTGTTTTGATTAGATTCATGAACCACAACATTTTTTTCTTTGAAGCTATTCTTCTGATTGAAATATATAGTACTCCATCCATCTATCCAACCAATTTAGTGAGACTGTGTATGTTGTTTTGGGTGATAGTATTAAAGAATTTGGGAAGACCCTTCCAGATTATAGCTGTTCACTTATAAGGCTAGGAAGACCTTCTAGATTTGAAAGTGTTAGAGAGATTACCATTTACCTTAGGCCACACAGCTAATAAGAAAGTATGTTTAAACATAGGACTCTTTTATTACTAAGCATCTAGATGTTGCCTAGTTAGTATCTCCCTGAAACTGTCTCATGTAGTAATAGTTCCATCCCTTAAACTTACCCTCTGCTTTCCTTTTTTATGTTTTTAAACCTGTTTCCTATTCCTGAAATTTCTTCCCAACCTTCTTTTTCCCACCTTCTGCCCGGGAAAACTCATTGACTTAGACAGCTGGAGGAGCCTTAGAACCTCCAGAGGCTGTTCCCTTATGCAGTAAATGAAGAAATTGAGGCCAGAGAGGTGAGATGATCTACTTTCACTTGATGAGTCTTACAGCTGGGGTTTGAACTTGCTTTCGTTCCTTTCCAATTGATTCTTTCATAGCACCCTTATTTCCTCTTAAAGTCATCTTTAATATCCATAAATTTTGGGTGCAGGGGCAGACTGTAGAACATGGAAACTTGGGTTCAAATTCCAATTCTGACATTTAAGTTCTTTGTAACTTTGGGCAAGCTACTTAACATTTTGTGCCTCAGTTTCCTTATCTTGCAAATAGGGTAAATAACAGTATCTACTGCATAGGATCATTATTAGAAGTAAATAAACTGTTACTTGTAAAGCATTGAGAACATTGTCTGGCACATAGCGAGTGGTTATTATTATATAAGTGGTTGTTAAATAAATAAGAACAAGAGAGAGAGAGGGACATTGCAGCTGAGTTCTAAGGGTTGCAGAGAAGAACCGTTAGGGTTGGAGACTTGGGGAGCCAGCATGCCTGTCAAGGGTCCTTCTTCTTCTTCTTCTTTTTTAAAGAGAAATAAGGAAAGTTCAAACTAACTGGGACTGAAAGAAATCAAGAAAAAATGGCATGATGGCATGATTTCAAGGGTTCTTCTTAACTGCCACCTCCTTTATGGAGTTATGTGTGTTTGGACACTGATCTTCATGATTCACGAACCTGTTATTCTTGCTTAATAGCTGTACTGGCCTATCATTCCAAGTGTTAGGCTATCAGGGAGTTAGATGTTTCCCTTCTTCGTCTGTTTATAGATAATGTGACATAAAACCCTTGCATCAAGATATAATAGGCCATGTTCTTTGGCATCAGCTTTGACTTTGAATAGTGGATTCTGCATCTTATCATCTGTGTAACTTTGGGCAAGTTACTTCTTTAAGTCTCAGTTTTCTCAGCAATAAAGTGAGGACAATACATACCTCATGAAATTGTTGTGTAGAGAAAATCAACCTATTATTCTGATTATAAGAAGAAAAAAAAACCATAGTTTTCTCTTTCAAAGCGGAAAGCTTAGTTTGTTCTGAGTCTGAAACCTCTCTTGGCCTGTGCTTAAGGTATCCATGTCCTCTGGTGCAGAGTTAGAGATTCAGGGAACCCGTGGATGCATGGGTGCCCGTGGTTAATCAGACAAAGCACAAAGTGGCGTCACCCAAACAACAAAACCATTAATGCCCTTTTTTCTCTCATCAGAAAGATTATTTATGGAAGACAAATAATGATGGTAGGAGCATAGTTGTGGCTAGTTGAGATCAGTGTTTAAAAACTGAGGGAAAACAATGTTTTTTGTTTGTTTTGAGTCGGAATCTCACTCTCTTTTCCATGTTGGAGTGCGATAGCACACTTACGGCCACTGCAGCCTCGACCTGCTGGACTCAGGCAATCCTTCTGCGTAACTGGAACCACTGGTGTGTACCACTACACCCAGCTAGTTTTTTGACGTATTGTAGAGATGAGATCTTGCCAAGTTGTCCAGGCAGGTCTCAAAGCCCTGGGCTCAGGCAGTCTAATTGCCTCCAACCCCCCAATGTGCTGGGACTGCAGGCGTGAGCCACCGCACCTGGCCACAATGTGTGTTTTGATGAGCACATTCTACATATTGGAAATATTTAATTCTGTGAGGCCAGAAATCCAGAAGAAAGTCTGATTCTCCAAGAAGACCTCACCTGTAGAAACAGAGTGTTGTTAAATCTAGCTCATTTGGCTCCAACTGACTCTTTGGGGTGGCATGCAGGTTGTTGCTCCAAATCACTGCTCAGGAGGTGCCTGCTGGTCTATACATTGGGTACCATAGAGTCCTTGGTATGTTTGCTCTTCCTGAACTGGATTTCTAACCATAGCACTGCATCATCCTTGTGTGAACCAGGTGGCTTTATTGATGTTCTCATTACATTAGTGGTTGAAACAGGAAAGAAAACATATATCTGAGAACAAAAATTATTGTTATTATTCATTTTTATGCCTTGGACTGCTAATAATAGTAAAATAAAAATCACATAATTGTATATTTATATATATATTTTTTGAGTTGGAGTCTTACTCTGTCGCCTAGGCTGGAGTGCATTATCATGCTCACGGCCACTGCAGCCTTGACCTACTGGGCTCAGGTGATCCTTCCGCCTTAGCCTTCCAAGTAGCTGGAACTACAGGCACGTACCTCCACGCCTGGCTAATTTTTTTGATTTATTATAGAGATGAGGTCTCCCAAAGTTGCCCAGGCTGGGCTCAAACCCATGGGCTCAGGCATTCTTCTCACCTCAGCCTCCCAAAGTGCTGGAATTATAGGTGTGAGCCACTGCACCCAGCCAGTTGTATACTTTTTTTTTGAGTTGGAGTCTCACTCCGTCACCCAGGCTGGAGTGCAGTGGCATGCTTATGACCACCCCAGTGTTGAATTGATGGGCTCTGGTGATCCTTCTGCCTCAGCTTTCCAAGTAGCTGGAACTACAGGAGTGCACTACCATGCCCAGCTAATTTAAAAAAAAATTATTTGTTTATTGTAGAGACAAGGTCTCGCCAAGTTGTCAAGGCTGGTCTCAAGCCCGCATGTTCGGGCAGTCCACTCACAGCCTCCCAAAATGCTGGAATTACAAGTTGAGCCACTGAGCTTGGCAGTTGTATACTTCTTAAGTGCTTCTTCATTTGAGTTGTGAGAGTTTGAGAGTTTGAGAGACAAGAAATTGTATACTTCTTAAAGTGCTTCAACATTTGAGTTTTGTATTGTGATAATAAGACAAGTGCTGGTAAATCAGTAAAATTCTTTCCATGTAACTTTTATGAATGATGTTTTCCCCTGTTATATTTTTCAAATCTAATTCAGTTAAGTAGATATTGGACTTTCCATTGTATGCTAGGCCTTGTAGGTTCCTTGAGCTTTCATTCTTTAATTTGTTCAAATTCAGTAGCAACAGTTGTTATTCAGAACCTATTCGGTGCCAAATATTATGTTATGGGGCGGTGAAAGGTGGGACATAGGGTTGTTCGTTGTTAGCTAAAGGAATTCATATTTGCAAATAATTTAAAAAGCTGAAAATGAAGATTTAAGCTTGCAAAAAAGAGCTCAGGGAATGAGGGTTTTTTTTTTAGGAGGAAATACTTGTGTATAATGACAAAAGTTCTAAGAGGACCCACCAGTATCCTTTTATCAGGGGACTCTAATGCTGTTTTTTTGGCTGCCTATGTTTTCTTTAGGTCATGACTGCTGTGAGACAGTGAAGGTGCTGCTCTGTGCTTCCAAAGAGGGTCTTCCTGTGTTTGTGGTGGCTGAAGAAGACTTTCGTTTCATCCAGGATGAAGCATATGATGCAGCCCAATTTTTGGCAACCAGTGCTGGAAATCAGCAGGCTCTGAACTTCACACGTTTTCTTGACCGGTCCGGACCCCCATCTGGAGATGTGAATTCTCTTGATGAGAAGGTTGCCCTGGCATTCAGGCACCTGAAGCTGCCGGCGGAGTGGAACGTGTTGGGAACAGATCAGACTTTGCATGGTGAGAATTTATATGACCCACAAACAAGCTTTGAATTTGAAATACTTCATTTTTTAATGGGACTGCTTTTCTATGGTCATTATATTCAAGTCTTCCACAATGGCTGAATAAATCTTATAACTACTATAGGAAAGTGGCCTTGATTGCATCTCTTATCGATTCCTCAGTTGAGCTGTTAAACCTGTTCTTGTAGTGAAATGACCCAAATGGAGAGTGGCACATCACCTTGCTGTGGGTCTGTAGTTCAGGCTTGATCTCTCAGGCATAGAAAGTGACTCATCCTTCATGATGAGAGTAGCAGAGTAACTTTTTGGTGTTTAATTATCAAAGACGGGGTTTTCATTATTGTGTTTTGAAGTTTTCTAGAGAGTTCCTGGAGTTGGAGGAAAGGAAAGATTGTGGAGTGAGAAGGGAAAGGATAAGAATGGGATGAGCTCTGAAAAACTCCACACTTCTTTTTACCAAGATAGTTTGATAGGACTCCACTTTTTCAAAAACACAAATGTGGCAAATGTCTACATATACTTTTTATTCAGACAGTTTTTCTCACATAATTTTTGTAGCAAATGATATATACTAAATATCATGGCTATATAGATAATTTTTAAATGAAACATAGTATGTACCTTGAATTTAATAAATAGCATCCCCTTTTCCTACTGAGTTCAAATTCATTAGAAAGATTTAGGAGTCCCACTGATAGAGATCAAAATGTTTGCTTTATTACTGGTGAAATCTAGATTGGAAGACTGTTATAGAGTTCCAGCCAGAAGGGTGAATCTGCTTATGCTTTCTATTTCATCACTGAAGGAGCTAGACAGTTACATGACTTTCCTATGGATCCACTCAGCTTTGAATGTTGTATCCCGTAAGGGAGAGCAAAGCAGACATTGCCCTCTTTACAGGTGAGCATGTCCTGAGGAGAAATACCCAGAGGGACCTGAACTAGGGTACGCTCAGTTCCTGCTCCATCAGACCCATCCAATAAATTTATTCTTTCTCCCATGGAAGAATGATGAAGTATTTGCCAGCCTTGATTCTTTCAAGTCTGCTCAATTTAACAGTTATGCCTGTGATCAGCCATTGGAATGGTGTCCCATACTATCAGGTAGTAGCAAGACAGTCCTGTCCAGGTACAATTTGAAAGATAGTGTGGACTCTACAGTCAAATCAAGAAAAGAAGCATCTTTCTTTTTCTTTTTACTATATTCCAAGAGATTTCTGTATAGCTAATATTTAGAGATCAGAATATTTGACATTATAGTGGGACATGAGTACCTTTTCAGAAACCTAATGATGGGCCTTAGTACCGTTAGTTCTTGCCATTTCTGTATCAATATGGGAATGATTGTTCTGGTTGCCTTTTCCAAATCAGCATCAAAATAGGCCTGCATTATTTATTTGTGGGCCTTATGGTGCTTTATAATTTTCTTTTATCTTGTTTATAGAAGGCTCAGGAGATAGTTTATGTTATCATGATTAAAGAGAACTGTTAGAAAAAGCAAAGATCTGAAACTTTGGCGCATCACCTTTCCTCTCTGGGCCTTAGCTTCCTTTTCTTTACTAGGAGGTGACTGGCCACCTTTAATATTTTAGTGTACTTCCCATGTACTCCTAAACTTTCTGCTGTACGAAATTGTTCAAGCAGTGCTAACAAAGTCTACCCTAAATTAAAATACTCAGAGAAATACAAATTAAAGCCACAATGAGATGTTGTCATGCATTTATTAGAATGACAGAGGTTAAAAATACCAGGTTCTGGCAAGGTTGAGGAGCAGAATCTCATACATTGCTTGTGGGAATGCAGAATAATATAGCCACTCTAGAAAAACAGGGCAGTTTTTTATAAAGATAAATGTGGGCAACCCCCTTGGGTCCCCTCCTACTGTAGGAGCTTTTCTGTCCCCTCGATACATCCTTTCTCAAAAAAAAAGATAAAGGTATACTTACTATATGATCCAATAATCCCTCTTTTGGATATTTACCCTAGAGAAATATAAACTTAACATTCACCAAAAACTCTATGCACAAATGTACCTATGGTAGTGTTACTCAAGGTCACCCAAAACTGGAAGTAACTCAGGTCTTCCTCACTGAGTGAATAGATCACAAGCTGTGGCACATTCATGCAATGGAACCTCAACTCAGCAAGAAAAGAAGCAAACTATTGGTATGTGCAACAGTTTGTATGCCTTTTAAATGCATTGTGCTGAGTCAAAGAAGTCAGTTTCCTAAGGTCACATACTATATGGTTCCATTTATATGATATTCTGGAAAAGGGGAAATCATGGAAATGGAGAACAGATCAATAGTTGCCAGGGTCTGGGAGTTAAGGGAAAAGACTTACTGTAACGGGGTATCATGAAGGAATTCTTTAGGGTGTCAGAGTTGTTTTGTGTCTTATTTGTGGCGGTGGCTATAACAATCTATGGGTATGTTAAAACTCATAGGACTATATACTCCCCAAAAGTGATTGTTATTTTACATATATTTAAAATAATTGTTAAGATAAAATAAGTTGAACAAATTAGGTGTATACTTAAATTAGGTGTATGCAAGGGACTTGACAGAACTGTCTTTAAGTCAACAGCTGAAATCAGGAATCTGAGTTTAAGTGGTGAATTCTGCAGGTTAAATTGTTTTAGTAATTGTGGATTAGAATCTAGGAAGATGGGATATGTAAGGGTAGAGTAGCGTTATGCTTGCTATTGAGGGACAGATGTCATGGAATAGTCTCTTCACATCAATGAGTTGTGTATCAAATCCCTCTTTTTAAAAGATATTTAAAGAAAAAAGGTACAAAGAAAGCATGGTGCCTGGGATAATGCTGGTAAATAGGACAGCCTGTTACATAACAGGACTACCTGCTGTTGAAAGCTAGCATGTTTACAGGTGTGCTAGCCTAATACTTGTACAGAGGAGTCGTGTAAGCTTTATGGCTAATCCCTGTACTCTTTAATTGTTTGGATGCAGTGCTTTTCATACTTTTTTTTCAGGTCACTGACTCCTTTGAAAATTGCTCAAATTTCTTCTCAGAAAAAAATGTTTATAAGAACCTATCTGCAAACATTTACATGTAGTAAATTTCATAGTCTCCCTGAACTTTAGGCATGAAAATGAAGTTAAGAACTCTGGTTTAGGCCAGGCACAGTGGCTCAAACCTGTAATCCCAGCACTTTGGGAGGCTGAGGGGAAAGGATTGCCTGAGACCAGTCTGGGCAACTTGGTGAGACCTTGTCTCTACAATAAACTTTAAAAAATTAGCTGGGTGTGGTGGCATGCGCCTGTAGTTCTAGCTACTTGGAAGATTGAGGTGGAAGGATTGCCAGAGCCCAGCAGGTCAAGGCTGCGGTGGCCGTGAGCGTGTCACTGAACTCTAACCTGGGTGACAGAGTGAGACTCCAACTCAAAAAAAAAAAAAGAACTCTTGGTTTAGATTTGATATTGTGAAATGGAAAGTGTGGGCATCAGAGTCAGTTCAAATCCTGGCTTCCTTGCAAGAGTTTGTGCAGAATACTAATCTATTACTCAATTTCTTCATCTATAAAATGGAGGAAGGTATATTCAGATAATGTGTGCTGGTTTGCAAACTGTTCATTTTAAATATAGCATGATCAATAGCAGGTAACCTTTTAGAGACACAAAAACATTAATGATCTGTAATGCGAAGGGAACGTGTTCTATAAAAGGATAAAACAGGACAGTACTCAAAGGAAGGCTCTTCAAAGCCGAATGAAACAGTTTCCATTGCTTTTTACTTGCTGCTAAAGTTAATTCTTGCTTTCAACGTGGGCAAGAGGGAGTTTGTCCATTTTAGTTCTTAAATTAATTAGTTCTCTAATTCCTAGTTATGTTAGAAACCTCTGCACTCTACTTTTTGCCACAGTTTGGCCTTAAATGCAGGTGATAAGGATTCATCAGGTGGAGAGTGAATAGTGAGGCAAGGACCTCTTTTTTCTTTGAGTTTTCCAAGTCTGGGTTTGTTGTCTCAGCTCTTCAGTGCCTTGTTCATTTGTGAAAGTGTTGAATTAGGATGGTTTTCCCTGAGGGACCCTTGTAGAGTAGCAATGAGCATAACTCTCAGGTAACTTAGAATGGGCCATTGAGGACTTGCTCTGGAGAAAGCAAGGAGAGTTGTACTAGGGGAAATGTTTATTCTATTTAGTCATAAGATTGTAAAACTAATTGAAAAGAAGATCTAACATCTTTGGGGTAGGAATCGTCCCCATAAGCAGAAGTTTGGATGGAGAGAAGGATGACGGGTTTAGGAAAGACTGTACTGAAAACAGCTTGAACAGTCCCAATTCTGTATATCTGATGTTGGTTAATAAATCCTTGTCCGTAGTCATTTGGTGATTTAGTTTCCACACTCCTTTCGGGGTGTTAGATAGCTTTCCATGGAAATTTTTCTTTAGCTACACTAGTATTTGAGTATTTTTTCCCCCAGTAATCATCATTGCTAAAAAAGAAATCTAAAAATAACAACACTGCTAGTAGATTCTTTCTCATGGCAGAAGGTTAATATTTATTGACTGCAAGACAAGCAGTGCTTAGTAGTGGCAGGTTTTGAGCTCTGTAAAGTTTTGTTTGTTTTGTCTGTAAAGTTTTTCTCGAACCTTGGTTTTGTGACAAGGTTACAAATCTCATTTTTCCGAAAGCCCGTTTCCTTACACTGGCTTGTTTTCCTTCCTTCCCCTTACAATTGGGAATTCCTGCATCATGTGGGGCTTTAGGATTATTTAAGAAGCAGTCCAGGATAGTAGAAAGAATGGTAACTTTGGAAATCCATAGATATAGATTCAAAGAGTACTGTGAGTAGGGCTTGCTGGGTAGATTGATGGGGTATGAAATTGCTTGATTGATTGTACTGATCTCATAACTTAGAATATTTTCTTTAGTCAGAGAATCTGATAATTTGAAAAAAAACTGCAGCCCCCCAGCAGGCTTATTGTGGTTGAATGCCTACTAGGCACATCAGGTTTCTTTTCAGATCCCAGGGAATGTGTGGGCGGTGTGTCCAGCAGATAAGTAGATAGCAAGCAGTACTTTCGGCACTCTATCTACCTTCTGGGGGTGGGGGTGGGGGGTGGTGGAAGCTCGTCCTACAGAGATCTTTCCAATTAAGTATGATTAGACATGAAAACCAGCTAACGTAGGCCTATGAAATAACATTACAGAATAAAGAAAAGGGGAAAATGTCATAAGTATCCAAATGAAAGACTCTGAGTGTGAGTTTAAGAAACCAAAGAAAAATTTACGAGATATTTTTCATTTGTCCTTTAAAGGGATAAAAAGCTATTTTTTGAACTCTAGTTAACTATATGCTAAAGTTTTTTGGAGTGAAGTGGACTACTGTCTTCAACTTACTTTGAAATGTCTAAAAATAAGGTGGCTGAGTAGATAGAGGGAAGATTAGCTGTATAGATATGTGATAAAGCAAATACAGAAAAACATTGATTGTAGGACTTGGGTTATGAGTGTCTGGTTATTTGTTGTATAATTCTTTCAACTTATGTGTACACTTGAAAAATTAATAAAAGTTCAGGGTAAACATGAAAAGGTTTTTTTAAAAACCACATTAGTTTGTGTGATTGCTTGTTTTGGGTTTTGTTTTACAGAAAGAGATAAGGTAGAGTAATGGAAAGGGTATGGGTTTTTTAGACTTAGAAGAACTCTCAAATCCTGGTTTTGGCTGTGGGCAAGTTATTAATTCTCTGAACCTATTTTCATATGCAAAGTGAGGATAATGAGACCTCGCAGGGTAACTGTGAAGCTAGAATGGAAAAAGTTGCCATAAACCACATAACCCACATGACACATAGCAGGTTCTCACTGCATTTTCTTCTCAATTTGTTTTCTGCAGGAAGGGACCACCTGAAAGTAGATGTGGTGTCATCTGCTAAAGACTTTAGAATGAGAATGGAGGATGTATAGGATAGGAACCAATATGCTATCTTCTCAGCTGGTGCATGGCCTTATTGTTGGGAGCTCTACTCAATACTGAGCTGACGCAGAACAAATAAGGGCTCAGGAAGGGTGAGGAGTAAAGAGCTGGCTGTTTTTGGGAGGTGTTGCTTGGTAAGGTCAGAATTAAGCAGCCTCTAAAAAGCCTCATCATATTTCATAGTCAGTTTCTTATTAGCTCTTTTTGTTTGTTTGTTTGTTTTTGAGTTGGGGTCTCACACTCTGTTGCCCAGGCTGGAGTGCAGTGGCATGATCACAGCTTACTGCAGCCTTGACCTCCTGGGCTTAGGCGAGTCTTCTGCCTTAGCTTCCTGAATAGCTGGGACTACAAGCGTTCACCACCACACCTGGATAATTTTTTTATTTTATTTTTTGTAGAGACAGTGTCTCGCTATGTTGACTAGTCTTGTTTCGAACTCCAGGGCTTAAGCAGCTCTCCCATCTTGGCCTTCCAAAGTGCTGGGATTACAGGCTTGAGCCACCATGCTCGGCCAACTCTTTTGTTTTTGATAAGGCGGTCCAAACAACTGTAAGGCATAAGTTAGATGGTGATATTTGATCTTTTGTGAAGGTTCTTTTTGTCCTTTTGTTTGGCCTTGACACCCACTCAGAGGTGTTGATCATTAAACTTTGTACCTGTGTATGTCATTGTCTCTTCTGGGACATTGGTTTTTTTCCTCTCCAGCCATGTGCCTGTGCTTGAATATCCTATAAATCCTGAATTGGTCAGTGTGTATATAGTTCTGTAGGGAAAATATATAATATGAAAGATAGATTATGGTCCCAAGGAAATTTACCTTGGAAATAGGGATAGTAGATTAATATAATACACAGGTGATATTAGGCAACAGTGCAGCTTAGTATAAAATCACAGTCTCAGAGATGTGTTCTTTCCTATTGTGATACTCATAGAAGCATCTGAGAAATTCACAGTAAGGAAAACACACTGGAGTATAAGAAGTCTGAGAATGCTCAGTGGAGAAGTTGATACCCATGGGAAGCCATGAAGAATGGACTGTGATAGTTAAGCTGAGACAGTCACAACTTCAGGGTGCCATTCACAACTGTGGGGTAGTCTACAGCCTTGTGGGGCCATATATGGCAGCCCTGTGGTGGCCTTAGCTGCTGTCATCACAGTTGGACACAAGAGGATGGCTGAAGAAGACAGAGAGTATGGCTAATGAGCCCCAAATGTAATTCGAAGTCCAAGAAGACAGGGAAGAGAGCAGGGAAGAGGAGGGGAACTGGCATTTTAATGAATACCTACTACAGCCAATCATTATACTGGCATTTTATCTCCTCTGATTTGTTGCAGCTCTGTGAAGTGATGGTATCTCATCGCTCTAGGGATGAAGAAAGTGAAGCCTAGACAGGTTAAATGAATCATGCCTGGATACACAGATGATAAATGCCAGATTTGAACCCAGATTGTATGACTCAAAGCCCTTTCTGATTCTACCACTTTTTTTTTTTTTTTTTTTTTGGAGTCGGAGTCTTATCTTGTCATCCATGCTGGAATGCAGTGGCATGATCACGGCTCTCCACAGCCTTGACCTCCTGGGCCCAGGCAGTCCTCCTGTCTCAGCTGCCTGCATAGATGGGAGTATGGGTGTGCACCATCATGTCCGACTAGTTTTTTAATTTTTGTTTGTTTTTCTTTTAAGAGATGAGGTCTTGCTATGTTGCCCAGGCTGGTCTTGAACCCCTGGGCTCTAACAGTCTTCCTCCTCATCCTCTCAAAGTGCTGGGATTATGAACATGAGCCACTGTGCCCAGTCCCTGATTCCACTGCTTTCAAAGTGACTTACTATATCAAGAAGAACCCTTCATTTCAAGTGAAATAAGCTCAAGCACATATTTGTCTTTCTGAAGTTATTAGTGTATTGTCTTAGAGTCAATCTTTCTTATTATGCCTGAAGATGCATTTTTTTATCTCATTAAACAAACAACAAAAGCTGGCCCGGAGCCATCAATGTGATTTGCCGTTATTGTGGGAAAATAAAAAGACCTGTGTGTACGTAACAAGCAGAACCTGTTTTTAATGTTTCACTAACCAACTCCTGTCTGGGTATTCTTTTTAAAAGTAATTATACCTTTTATGATACACCCATTTAAGTTCTAACAGCTATTTCCCTTGGATTCCCATGTTGTAGGGCTGCATTTACTTTTTTTTTTTAATAAGGAAAATAATGTATGTGAGCGTCACCCTTATATCCTGCCAGTGAAATTGGTTGAACACGTATAGTATGTTAAGTCATAATACAGAAATGACTTGATGCTCTTCTGTAGGACTGTCTCCTATTGAAGATTTTGCTTCTTGTGCTTTTTTGGAGCTTTGTATTTATTTGAGGGCTAATTCTGTCAGGCCACAATAAAGTTGTTCATGCTGTATGATGTAGCTTTAGGATCTTAGGCACTTGGAGGCCATGGTGTTTGCCTAACTTGTCTTTTTGCTTGTTTGGTTTTTGTTTTTACATTCTCACTTAGGTTCATTTTCTCTCCCATTTATAGATGCTGGCCCTCGGGAGACATTGATGCATTTTGCTGTGAGGCTGGGACTGCTGAGGTTGACGTGGTTCCTGTTGCAGAAGCCAGGCGGCCGCGGAGCTCTCAGCATCCACAACCAGGAAGGGGCGACACCTGTGAGCTTGGCCTTGGAACGAGGTTATCACAAGCTGCACCAGCTTCTAACCGAGTAAGAAGCGCCTTCTCCCTGCTTCCCTCTTCTCATCCCCTACCCCACCCCCTGTTTCATAGTAGGACCGCCCACTTGGCATCTCAGTGTGAGTTTGCCAGGAATTAGAACGTCTACTCTGTACCTTCTTGCCTTCTGCTGGAGAGTTGTGAGTTTGTTCCTGCTAACTGCTTCTTTGTCTGAGAGAGACAAACGTAAGTCATGTTACTGTTTTCTCTCTCCTCTGCTTCCCTGCCTTCTTCTCTGCTTATCTCGAGATTGTATTTTACTGAAAATTCAGAATGAGTCTTGCCTATGGGAATAGTGTAACATTACCAATGTAAATAGTTTATTCTGGTTGAGTACAAAAGAAAACAGTTTTCTTGTGCCATAGATTTGTTTCTGGTATGTCTTCAGAACTTGAAAGTGTTATTTAGAAACCAGTACTTTTATTAATAATTGCATACAGAAGATATGGTAAACAATTATGTTTTGGATTTAATGTATTTTTCATGAGTAAAATTTGAGAGCAGTGGTTTCTCCTATGAATAGTAATAAAAAGCAACTGACTTGTCCTAGAAATATGCAGTAGGAAATCCTGTTTGTCTTTGGGTTCGGTTGTTATACATTTGGACTCTGTAAAGAGTCCTTTGGAGGAAGGTTGTTAGTCAAAACATTTGAAGTCTTTTTTTTTTTTTTTAAAGAAACAAATAAATATATTAGAGCAGCCAACCTTTTTTGTTGGAATATTTGTAAAAGGTAGATGCTTCAAGAATACTTTTTCCTGTTCAGTATATTTTTATAGTTTTATGGTCATCATCCTCATCTTTTCTGCCACATCTGAACAAGAATAAGCCCTACTGGAACTATGGTCTTTAGCAATTGAGGGACCCTTGTAAATTGAGTTGGTATTCTCAAATTCTCAGATATTTTGTTCATGTCACATTTAATTTAGTTGCATTTTATGCTTAATCATTTTAGCCATATATGCAGGGTAGTCTGGAAGGACCATGAGGAGATCTCAGAATGAAATGCTGCTTACAGTTATATATAAACAGTTTTTTCTTGTGTCATTTGCCAAGCTTATAACTTTCCTAGTCAAGCTAGACAGAAGGTTCTTTGCAGAAAGTTTTCTGATGGGTGGTACAGATACAATGGTGGTAGGAGGGGCACTCTTCTTCTCAAATGAGCTTTGGATACCTGAGCTCTCCTATGACAGTATTTCAGAGAGTGATATGTCCCACTCCTTCGCACTTCCCATCTGGCCCAATGATTGGATTCATTCTGCTGTTTGCCTCATGACCTCAGAAGGAGACACCTTGTTCCAGAAGTTGAAACAATTAACTCTGTATAACTATCGTGAGGTTTAAGTGCAGTTTCTCCAAATTTAATTTTATAGCTCAGAGTTTTTGTGGGGAAGCAGAGTTGGTTAAGGGATGCCTCCCAAATGGAGAAATAAATTATTACAACAGCTTCATTATGTGCTTGGAGGGTATGTCACAAGATTGCTATTGCACCACAGTTTAAGGAAATTAGAGTGTGTTTATTCTTGGAGAAGATTTTTGTTTGCTTGCTTTGAAGTACTACCTCTGTGACAGTGGGAAAGTCACTTATCTTCTTTTGAAAGGGAGACTAGTAATGGAAAACCAACTTGAGAAATCTCCAAATAGAGGACTCTGATAGGAGAGTATGAGCACTTTGCTGCAGAGCTAACTTTACCCTTAAGTTGAATTCTTCTGGGCTTTTACTGTTCTGAAGCCTAGAGGAAGTGCTGAGTCATAATTAGCAATTGAAAATGGTAAGGAGGTGATTTTACTAAATCCTTCAGTCTCACTGTAATACTAGGAGACTTTACTAGAATTTCAGTTGTTAAAGGTCTGGAAAGATCATAGCTTTGCTTGATTTTTCCCCTTTCTTCCTCATGTCCTCTCTTTGTAGAAACATGCATAACATATAATTTATAATTTTACCATTTTTAGGTATGAGATTCTGTGGCATTAAGTACATTCGCAATGTTATTTAACCAGCACCACTATTCATTTCCAGGACTTTTTTTTCTTAATCACTCCAAACAAAAACTCTACCCATGAGGTACTGACTGCCCATTCACTCCCTTTATCCCAACCTGATAACCTCTACTCTGTTTTCTGTCTCTTAGAATGTGTTTATTCTAGTTACTGCATATAAGTGGAATCATGCAACATATGTCTTTCTATATCTATTGTCCTTCACGTAGCATAATGTCCTCAAGGTTCATACATGATGTAGCATGTCAGAGTAATGTATATTTCAAAATCACTAAAATAATAGATTTTAAAAATATTTTTATTTTAAATATGTTTTTTTTTTTTGAGTTGGAGTCTCACTCTGTCGCCCAGACTGGAGTTGCAGTGGCCGCTCCTGGCCACCGCAGCCTCGACCTGCTGGGCTCCAGCGATCCTTCCACCTCAGCCTTCCAAGTAGCCGGAACTACAGGCGCGCGCTACCACACCCGGCAGATTTTTTATTTACTGTAGAGATGAGGTCTCTCCAAGTTACCCAGGCGGGTCTCGAACCCACGGGCTCAGGCAATCCACTCACCTCAGCCTCCCAAAGCATATTTTAAATATGTGGTGTACAATTCAGGATTAGGTTTACAAATGTTCATTATGCAGTTTCCTTTGTTGATGAGGTGTGCCCTCTCTACCCTGGCAATAATAGATTTTAAATGTTCTCACCACAAAAATATAAGTGAATGGATGGATATGTTACATAGCTTGATTTAATCTTTCTGCAGTGTGTATCTATATCAAAACATCACATTGTAACACACACACACATATATACATATATATACGTGTATACACACACATACACACATATATATCTATATAATTATTTGTCAATAGAAAAAAACATAGTCTAAAGGTGGAAACAGGCCAAATATCCATCAATAGATAAGTGGAGAAACAAAATGGTATATACACATATAATGGAACACTATTCAGCCTTAAAAAGAAAATGTAAAGTTTATATTTCACAGATGTAACTCAGATCCGGGGAGGTAAAGTGATTGGATTAGGGTAGCAAGCCAAATTTCCTAAGAGACTGTCCAGAGCTCCTTCCACTCCTGGGATTCTTAACAAGGGGCCCAAGAATAGACTTCATGGGGTCTGTATCCCCTGAAATTATAGGCAAAAGTTTATGCACATTCTTTTCTGAAAAGTTTGTGAGATTCGCCAAGAGACTTGTTAAGAAGAATTGCCATACTACATGATGTCTTTCTAACGGTTTACTAAAATATTTAGATTTCGGGTGTCTGAACCCATCATCTTTATTTTTTATTAGATTTTTCCCATGTAGACCAATCTTTTTATTGCCTCTTTTCAATTAGTATAAAAATTGAAGTGTGACTATGTACATTTTACATTTATTAAATAACTATTTACATTCTACTCTTAACTGGGAAGCCAAACGTAATATTTTTTTATAGCCCTCCCAAAATATATTTGTTTTAATTATATGCTTTTTCCTTTCTAATTTTTTATTTGGGAGGTGGGGGGTCATTTGGAGGGTATTGTGCTGGTTAGGGCCAAGTTATTTTTGTGATTCTGTGTTCAAGGCTTATTTTGATTGATAGTCTGTTTTTATAAACTGAGTCTTACTTATGTATAATCATGATTACACTTATGTGAAAATGTGATTTGGCATTCTTGGAGATAGAAGGATTCTTTAAGAACTCTGTCTAGAGAATTTTTGAAATTGATATTAAGTCCCACCAGGATAGTAATCACTATTCAGGATGTTTTTGACAGTTTCTCTTTTCTGTAACCCATGAGTGTTAACTTTCGCTTAGTTCAGTGACAGAGAAGGAAGAGGTTTTGTTGCTCTTTCACTTTAGCTGATATTTTGATCTTATATTTTATGGATGCATTTGTGATCTGAAAATTCTTTTTAAATAGAGGTTACTAGTCCTACCTGAGAAATTTTAACCCCTGAAGGTACCCAGAACATCTACACCTACTTCTGCTTTAGGTAGACAGTTGTCTTCCCCAATATGAGGACCCCAGCCAATGTCACCTAATAAATTAGTGATGGAGAGAGTAGGAACAAACCCCAGTTTGCAGGCTTTTGGTATAGTGAGTGCCAGGAGGTGACATTAGATGATTGTGACATTGTAGTCATCTAAGAAGAGAATATTATCAGATCTGACTGATATCTCACTCACACATCACAAAGACGGAATCTTGGGACCTGGATCACTTGTGTGGAGGAGGGACAGAGAATAAGAGGCAGCTCAGGTAGTGACTAAGTGTACAACCTTGGAAGTCAAATCTAATTTACATTTTGACTCCCCTATTTTTAGCTATATTAATTCAGACATAGTAAGTACTTTCCTCTCTAAGATTTGACTTCTTTATCTGGTAAATAGAGGATAATAATGTCTGCTTCCTGAAATAATAAGCAAGTGTCTGGTGTATGCAGTGTGAAAAATCACAGCTTATTTGTCATACAGATTCTGGTTACTCATGGGCAAATAAGGGTGCTAAAAATATTCCAACTTTAAGAAAGACAGTGCGGTATGGTGGAATTGCTTAGGGATGGAGAGCTTAATTAAAATCTAACCCTCCCTATTTATTAGTCTGTATGTCTTGGAAAAAGTCACCTATCTATTTTGAGTTTCAAGTTTCTCCTCTCTTATGGGTAAGACCTTTTCTGCCTACATCTCACAAGGTTGTTGAAAACTAAATGAGATTTGTACAAATACTTTGTTAAACTCTAAGGTGCTTTGGTTGAGAGTTTTAAATAAGTATATAGTAATGACATTGTAAAATTAGCATTAACTGATCAAGGACATTCAAACTCCAATTGATTAGTCTACTGAATATCTTTTTTGGGGCGTAGTATTTATTGTAGTTCTCTATGAATTAAAGTTAGTAGAGCAGTTGGGAGAATTGTTGTTAAACAAGTTAGTTTTGAATCTAGTGTCTGTCTCTGTGAAACTGTACAATCGTGGGTGATTCACTTCACCTCAGTGCCCT